AGAATTGATCATGAGTTTTGTATTATTTCCAATAGTTAGTAGTTTTGCCTAAATTGGAAAAGTATTACAAAGAAGAAATTGGCAGGATGTCAATTTATTTACCATTTTGTCTTTTCTTCCTGGGCAGACAGAATTCATTTTCCCAGCTTCCTTACAATTAGTTGCAGGCAAGTGATTAAGATTTGGCCAATGAGTTATGAGTAGAAACAATACTACATCCTTCAGGTCTGCTCTGTGCCCTCCCCCACCTCCACTCCCGGGCCAAAAAAAAAAAAAGCTCCAATACTCCACTTTCTTTTATTGTTCAATTGTTCCACGGAGAAGCTTCCGTGTATCTAGAGGAGGGTAGAGCTACAAGATGAAAGGAACTTGGGTCACTGGCTGACAAAGTGGAGCAGAGCCTATGCCCAGACAGTAACCCATCTTGATCTGTCATGTGATGAAGAACTGATTTCTACTTGTTGGACCACTGATATTTTGGGGGTGTTTGTGAGAGCACTCAACCCACTCTGACTAGTACAAGGAGTATTTCATAATGGACTTGAAGATAATACTAATCTATAAGTTTCTGACCATCTCAGATTGCCAAAAATTTGAGGCAAAGTTCTTTGTAGATTGTAGCGAGCATTTGCAGTCATTATATAAAGGCCAACAATTAAAATAAAAACAATACTTACAGTAGAGTTAAACTTTGATATCACTTTGTTACTAGGTGGTAGTAGGATTCCTAGAAACAATTTCAAATACAAATTATGTGCTCATCTTAAGCTTTTCATTCTGATGATAGCAAAAAGTTGAGATGTCCCCCTCATCCTTTCAATGCTTCAACTGAACTATTTTTGATATATTCAGAGACAGCTTGAGATAGATGATTCATTTTGTTTCATTGTTTTCTAGATTCACTGATTGTGGAAGAGGAATGCAAGCTGCTGAGTAGCAGGTGGCTTTATTGAGTGGCATTCAAAGCATGAATTCTCTATGAGGTCTACTGCTCTGATTATGACCCTGAGTGCTGAGGTTTTATCCTGCTAGGGCAGTGGTAAATCTTTAAGGAAGGGATGCTTCCTTTCATCACACCTTTGCTCCCCATGTCATGCACAGAGGGGCTCCAATTCCAATGGAAAAAGACCCTTCAAAAGAACACTCAACCAAAGTCCACCTTGTATAATTAGTTCTGTTCTGCATTGAAATAAAAAACACATTCTATTATACACTCTTTAATTAGGTCATAAATTTTGCCTTTCAAATTTAGTTATACCTGGCATTTACTTATATAATGTGACAGAGTTTAAACAAAATTTCTTCCTCTGAGAAAGCTAGTTTTTGAACATTATCAACTAATTTGTCATTTCTCTAATAAATTTTTGTACCGCCCCTATACTAAGTTCCAATATGTATCTCTGGTTCCTCAATGATTCATCTATCCATTGTTTCATAGCACCATTTTATCATAATTATCCAATCCACTTGTGCCATATCTAATTTGGTAAAACAACTCTTCTTTTTTCCCTATTATTAAAATTGACTTAAGCTATTTTGTCATATATATTTTGGAATAAGCTTTTCATAAAATCCAGCTCTAATCTTCATTAGTTATAGGTTAAATGTGTAAATTAGTTTGCATATTATGTCAAGCAGTCTCATATACAAATAGAAAACGTATTTAAATACTTGTCAACTTCAATGCTGTTAACATTTTGAACAGTAAAATTCTTTGTTGTGTGTTTGAGGGTATGTCTTATGAACCGAGAGTATTTAGCAGTATCCTTAACCTCTACAGACTAGTTGCCAGTAGCAACCCTCCTTTCATCATAATAATCCAAGAGAAGGAATTATCCTCTGTTGAGAATCACTGCAAAATGACCAAAGGCATAAAACAAACTGAGAAGTGTTTATTCAAGAAAAACTACTTAACATCTGTCATAAAAAATAATGAAATTCTGCCATTTACAGCAAGATGGATGAACTTAGAAAAAATTGTTAAGTGAAATAAACCAGGCACCAGGAAAAAAAAAAAAAAAAAAAAAAAAAAAAAAAAAAAAAACAACTCTACATGCCCCCCCTCGTAAGGGGAAGCTAAAAATAAAAAAAAATTTTTAAGAAAAAAAAACCGGGCCCAAAAAAAAAAAAAAAAAAAAAAAAAAAAAACAACAACAACAACTCTACATGTCCTCACTCGTAAGTGGAAGCTAAAAATATAAACAAATAATTAAAAAAAGAAAGATGCAACACAATCACAATAATTCCTTAAACTTTCAAATGGAGAGAATGGAACCGAGGCCACCAGAGGTGGGTGTGTGTGGGGGGGCAGTTATTGAGAAATTGGTAAAAGGCTACAAAAAATGAATATGTTGTATAATAATAAATATAGTAATTGTCCTGATATAAGCATCACATATTGCACACAGGTATTGATACTCAATGCTGTATACCACAGATATGTATGATCAATTATGTATCAATTTAAAAAAAAAAACAACCCACTGGCAACTTGTCATGTTTTAGCCTTGAGCTTCTTCCTTCTTCCTCCAGCTCCCTGGGTACTGTAATTCTACCAGGGTGGAGCAAGTTAGAAAAGCAAGCAGTTTCAGTGTTGGTAGAGCTGGTTTGATTTGGAATGGAAGCCAGAAAATCTGTGGCAAATGAATGGAAGAAGCCAGTGTCACAACTAGCTTGAGTTTGCAAAACTGATTAGGGCAAGCAATTAACTAGCATACTCACCAGAAATTTAACAGGAGACCTTGAGAATGAGACTGCCATAATAGGTGTGATAGACTACTTCATATCCTTGGCTGTCAGAAAGGCTATATGCATATGCAAGGCTGCACACATGGCCAGATGAGACCAAAGAGGGTTTTGGTTATATACATATTCTTGGTTAAATAAGAGATCTTGTACATGAACAGAAGAGATAAAAGAAGGGCAATAATATATTAAAAGTCGAAGCCAATTTATAATTGCCTAAACTATAAATGTGTTCCCCAATGAACACACGGATCCAATGACAAAGGGAAGAAGACTTTCTGGCTCAGAGTGAGCACAATCTCTGGCCAATCATGCCGACACAAGGCTTACATCTAGAAAGCCAGGACTGAACCCCCCCCCCAAAAAAAAAACCCCAAGAATTTATAAACAAAGCTGAGGCATCAGCATCCACACATCATAGGAGAGAAAGGCTCCATAGGCAAGTCACTACACAAACACAGGAGCAATAATAACCTCTATGGGAGAATGAAAATCCAGTTTCTAAGTTACATTAAATGGGATTTCCAGTTTTCAACAAAAAATTAGAAGATATGTTAAGGAATAAGAAAAGTGTTCCATATTTTAGGAAAAAATAAATAATCAAACAAACAAAGTCTCTGATAGGCCCTGATGTCGGACTTAGCAAGGACTTCAAAACAGCTGTTATAAACATGTCAAAAGAACTAGAAAAACCCATGTTGAAAGAATAAAGAAAAGCATGGTAAAAACTACTCTTCAAATAAAAATACTAATTAAAGATATAGAAGTTATAAAAAAAGAACCAAATGAAAATAAAAAATGTATAGTAACCAAAAGAGAAAAAACCCTAGAGAGACTTAAGAGGTTGGCATTCATACTATCCAAAGACTGGAAACAATCTAAATGTCCATCAATTGGTAAAGGAATAAACAATCTGATATATGAATACAATGGAATCCTACTCAGCAATAAAAAAGAAGAGTATTCATTCAGTTCACATGTGTGAATCTCAAAACATTATGCAACATAATCCAGATGCAAAAGATCGCATATCGTATGGTTTCTGTTATATGAAATGTCCATAAAAGGCAAATTTTAGAGGGAAATCAGATCAACACTTGCCTGGAGCCAGGAGTGACTAGAAATGAGTATGGGGGTTTTTCTTTGGGTGATAAAAAGGTTTCAAAATTGGAGACATTTATTAATACTACTAAAATGTACACTTAAAATGAGTGATTAGGTTGTGTGTAAGTTATACACTAACAAAACTGTTAAAAATATTGCTTTTCATACCAATATGTATAGGAGGGCTTCTATAGATTAAGATGCATTACATTTTTCTTGCAAATAATAATAACTATCACAGTATTAGGAACCATTATATATATATATTATGCACAACTCTTTGAGGTTCTTTAAATGTATAATCGTATTATTTTTAACTTTAAAATAGAGGAAATAATAACCAGCAAAACACAGATAAATGAATAGACATTCAGATTAAATAATTTGTTCAAGACTCTTAGGTAGCTCAACTCTAAAATTCATGAACTCAAACAATACTTGCTATAGTATATTAGTGTGGGTGTGTGTTTGTGTGTATGTAACAGAGATGAGATTTGTATTGAGTGACACACATTAAATGAAATGGAATGTCATATCAAATATATTTTTAGACTTCATAATTATTGCCTAATATGTATATATACAATCACTGTTAAAATTATTAATTCCTTACAGATTAAAATTGCAATTTCTCTTTCAACTGCCAAAAGATATTTTACTTTCAGTATAAGACTAAAAAAAAATGAAGGAAAAGTCAGTCTTTTGACTTATTAACCACTTGAGAATAATAGCAGCATTTTTTGTAGAATTTTTGTAGATTTTTAGAAGATTATAATGGGATCTCAAAGTAAGATAAAATTTGATGTAATGTTCTCACTTTTTCGTTGATATGGAGTATTAGCTTATACTCCAAAATTTATAAGCATCATATCAGAAAACATTCTAAGCTTCATTTTGGTACATGAATGGTCAAACCAATTACAAAAAATAAATTTACTTTTTTTTTAACAAATGAAATATTCATCAATTGCTTATACTCTGATTTAAAATAAATTCATAAGCTTTATTATTGCCCATTAAAAGTGGTGTTTTGCTAACAGAAAGATAAAATAAGTTACTTATAATCGGTAAATCTTCATAGTTTAAGAGTTTTCATACAGTGACTATGCAGGACAGATAAAAAAAAATTAAGATTTAGTGGGAAATCTTACCACGCCAATGGAAAAGTAATTATTGATGATAGTGTAAGGCACTGGGTCTCCCTTCTCATCTTTGTCATTAGGTATGACTTCAAACTTCCACCTGTCCAACATGATTTCTGTGCTGTTTTCAATGTCTTTTAAGATTTTCATCAGATTCTCACCTTCATAACCTAATGGAAAAAAATAAATATTTTGAGAAAAAATTTAATCAAACAATAAAAGCTGTATTTATATGTGGTTGAGTATGTTTGTGTGTGTGTATTATTCTAAAGCCAAATACTGCATTTAAAGCAAATTCTAACACCAAATGAAGAATTAGTTATACTTATTATACTTATTCCAAAATTTTCTTCTTAAGCTTTAATTTGCAACACATATTTCTCTCCTGTGGTAGAAATCCTCAGTACATCCAATTACCAAATGAACACTTCTACTTCAAACTCCCACAAAACGTGATATCAATATATTCAAAATGAAATTATCTGCTTCCTTATCTTCCTCCTGTGCATTCTATTTCAGAAAGACACACCATCCCCCCATTTGCTAAAGTCAAAATCCCGGATGGCACTTTAGACGTCTCTCTTTCCATCACTCCCGCAACCTCGTGCTTCCCCTTCCTCCACACCAACTTCAATTTATGTAAATGGTACTTCTTCAACTTTGTTTCATTTCATTTCTTATTCTACCTACCCAGAGTGCCTCTTTTCTCTTCGGCTGGCTTGCTTCTATTTTCTCACCATGGTTTTAAGTTTACTAACAATTCTTTCTGGAAGCCACGGTCCCAAAAATAATGGAACGGATTCTCAACCTACACAGTCCCACAGAATGTAGTTCTCAAAACTCACCCTATCTTAGAATTAGTACACTGCATCTTAGTTATTATGTTTTTCTCACTACAGGTTCCCTTCACCAGGTCTGCCCTAGAGCAAATGCACAAAAAGTCAATTTTTTTTTTTTTTAATGAAAGTGCTATACATGGTCACATGGTCTGAAAAGAAAGTTACTGCTTAATATTACTTTTTCTCTTAAGTTTATCTGTAGGTATATAACATTATAGTTGAGACTGTAGACTAACCCTGGATGTGTTATGTACTGTTTTTTTGTTTGTTTGTTTGTTTGTTTGTTTTGTTTTCCCCTTAACCTCCCTCAATGTTAGTTTCCTCCCCTATAAAACTTTAAGTTTGTTGTGAGGATTAAATGAGATAATGTATAGAAGGTCTTAGTAAATCACGCCTAAAATATAGAAAACAGAAAGTTCTCAAGAATATAATATTATTGATGATGATAACATCAGAATTTGAAATATTGTACTAAATTAAATAATCTCTCTCTTTACCCACATGCACAAGTGCACACACAGGTGCACACATACACATATTCCTAAAATGACGTTTTTAGTTGGAACGATAATTTTACAGTATTTTTTTTTTTGTATGTAACTTTTGGCCTGTAACTTAGTAATTTATTTGTTGAACAAGAAAATGCCACATTAGTGCTGTTAGTATAAATATCATTGGAAAAACTAATTGGGTTAAAAGACAAAAGAACAGCAACTCTCATATGCCAACATTCCGTAACAAAGAATAAATTACATTTAAGGTGCATCTGTTCAATTAACTATGAGAAGGTGTAAGCAGCCAGAAACTAGAATATCTTTTTTGGAACCCATCATCACCTGTTGTTTTACACACATTTAAAAAATAATTATGCACTATGAAATACAGTAGAGAGGGTGATAAACAATGACTACACAGATATAAACATTGAAAGTATCAAATATTATTTCAAAAGATACCCACAATTTTACAGCATAATTTAAAAATATTATTATTAATAATATACATATAATTGTACTCAATGTTAAAATACTGAATGGTTTAAACTTTAAGATTAAAATAACTATATATTTCATGTATAGTTTGCATGTTTTTTAATAGTTCTATCTTCATTCTCAATATTTAATTTATTCCTATTTTTTTAAGAATTATAATAGCCTTCAAAATAAATTTTATATATATATGTATATTTATATTTTATATATTTCCCTACTGAATAAAATAAAAAAAAAGAAATACATTCACCCATTTTCCAAGTTCTGCTCTTGTTTCAGAATAAGCATAATGTTTTTTAGGCATAAGTAAATTTATATATAATAGTATAATATAATGTAATATAATATAATATGGAAGTATAGCATTTATATACATATACACACACACATACTCAGTAGAAATATGAATAAATAATAATGGTTTAAATCAAATGTTGACTTTGTCCTCAGCCATATCTCAGGTTAATAGCAGAACTGTTCAGCATACACTAGAACAGTGGAACAGCAACTAGCCAGGAGAGAAGATGATAGGAATAAATGTAGTAAAAATTAAATATCACAGCTAATTATAGTAAAGTCACTCAGCTTAAAAATCTTTGCCATTGTATATGTTTTCAAAGATTTTTATGGCCAAGTATGAAAAAGAATGATATCAATCAGTCTTCCTGCCAAGTAAGAAAGGAAGGAGGCACTAAATAAATCTACTTAGAAAATTACATTTGAAGTTAACAAAAATGAATTCCAGACTGTAGTTGCCCATTTAACAAATACCTATGTGCTACTTCTTTTTATTTATCTATGACCAAGCTTGCTAAATACTGATATATAACTTCTAATAGTATTTCTAAAACCTGAACTCACAAAGATCATATTTTTAAAAAAGACAAATCAAACCCACTAACCATGCAAGCAAAAAGTTACTTACAAAGCACAATTATTTTATTTTCATTATTTTAGTTTAAAGCCTATAATCACTCCAGAATAAGAAACAAGATAAGAACATTCTTCTTCAATAATGTGATGTCATAATAATGGCTGAATCTATCTAATAAATCATAGAAATGTTTACAAATGAAAATCACATAAAGAAAAGTAACATCAGCTATTTGTGGGCGTGTGCTCTGTTTAAACTCGGTCACTTACCTCCCAACACTACATAAACAAAATTTTGAATGCAATAATCTTCAAATTTTTGTTAGATGCACTAATTATTACCAGAAATTGTGAAGAGAATGCTAATTATTTTTCAAATGCCTTAGGACATCCTATATTTTTACAATGCTACTTTTTCTAAAATAAGGAAATACATTCTCGTAAAAAAAGAGGCTTCAAGTCAATATGTTCCATTTACTGTAAGTGAACTAAATGATTGTTGGTTGAATAAAGTATTTTCTTTCACAAATGCTAAGCATAATAATATGACTGCATAAGGTGCTCAATACAAACTCTGTACAAAGCAGTTTAATACTTTGGCACAAGAACCTATAAGACTGGCACTATTATTTTTCTCACATTCTGGTGGGAATCTAAAAATCACAGTTCTTAAGTAACTTGCTCAGTTACGTACCTGGCAAGAAAGAATCCCACTCTAAAGCATGTTTCTTTCTTAATCATCTCTAGCAAAATGCTTCTCCATTTTCCTAATTGATCAATTTGGGCATCTTGATACCTCACTTTCCCTAGAGCCCCCATCTAATCCACTGGTAAGTTTGATCAGCCTATGCCCCAAAATGTACCTTTGACTTGTCTACTGGCCTCATTGCATCATCAACATCTAGTCCAGTCCTTTTAGTTTTTAATTAAGACAACTATAAGAGATCTTGTTTGGGGCCGGCCGGTGGCGCACTGCTACAGTGCGCCGCTTGGGAGCGCGGTGGCGCTCCCGCCGAGGGTTCGGATCCTACATACAGACCGGTTCCCGCTCACTGGCTGAGTGAGGTGCGGGAGCAACACCGAGGGTTGCGATCCCGTTGCCGGTCCCGGTCTGGTACAGGCGCGACACTGAGGGTTGCGATCCGTTGCCGGACACGAGAAAAGACAAAAAGGAAAAAAAAAAGAGATCTTGTTTGGAAAACAGTAGTTCTACATGTTTTCATACTTCCTGACCAGTTTGTTTTCCACCCCAAATTAATTTATTTTATAAAAACATTGGTGTCATTGTGTCACTCTGTACCCAAAAGTCTTCGAATGCTTCACTTTCCACTTCAAAATCAGTCAAATAAAATTCTTGCCACAACTAACAATTCCTTGCATTATCTTGGCTCCCAATTATCTTCCCAAACTCACAGAACTCACAGATCCCAACAACCCACCACTCCACTGCTGTTTCAGCAACCCTCCCTCTCCAGCCTTCCTTCAGTCCTTTCAGCACAGGAAGCTATTTCTCCCTCCTTATATTTTAGTTCCAGCTTAAATGTTATCACCTAAGAGAGACCTTCTTGAGCATCTAGCTAAATAGTTCCTCTGTATTACTCATTCTTTTGTAGCTCTGCTCGCATGTTGTACTATATATTTTATTGTTCATTGATTTGACTATATATCCAGTGAAAATGTATTCTCCAAAAGGGTAGGAGCTATTCATTTATTTACCTAACTCCATGTCCAGCACCTAGAAGAGTGTCAACATACTAGGCACTCACAGAGAATTTTGTCACTAATATATACTTTGATATATGATATAGTCCTTTTTTGTCCATTGATATCTTTTGTGAGGTTTTATAAGAATCATTAGAGTATGCCAAAATGAACTTCTTGATATTTGAAATTTAAGCTATTTCTAATTTAAAAGCACAAAGTAAAATTATTAATTTCCAAATATAAATATAAAGGATACTTTAAAAAGTTCATGGAAAAATAGAATTAAAGGATAATGTAAATCTTTCCATGAACTTTCTGATGTACCCTCATATGTTCTAGAAAAATATAACAAGAAGCCACGTATATTTTTTCCTGTTTTTAAATTGTACACATGGACAAGCACAGGCAAATATAAGCACTTTATAAGTAATGGCTATATATTTATCTCTTCAGATTCCATGAGCTTTAATTAAGAAGATGAAAATACTCTCTTATTAAAGTATACTCTTACTGAATATCCCAAATAGGTTATAACTAAGTTTTTAACTTAGTCTCCAATTCTGTCTGTCTAACATGTACACAGCTTAGAGCTCACTAGTTGGCCAGATACTCATGGAATTGTTCTCTAACTTTCTTGTAAAACAGAGTTACTTAGAGAGTTTGTTTAAAAAGATGATCAGGTCTTTTTGTTCAGGTCCCACCCCCAGAGGTTTCCATTCAGTATATTTGGGGTGGGGTCAGGCCACTACATTTTTAACAAGCTCCCCAAGGGCTTCTGATTCACAGTCTTAGTAGACACTTTTCAAACTTCTCTAAGTGAGCTAGGATGCTAAAAATATTTAGCATTTAATTCCTGCTTCTTTAGCAAAATTTGGTGTTGAATAATGATTTTCAGAGAAGTATAACCTGTTAGTGATTCTTCCAAATATTTTAGGACCTCATCTTGAAATATCCTCTTTCTCACTCTGCTCCATCCATATTATTCTATTTTCAGTTCCTTGACTATGTCAATTGACTTGCCACCTCCAGGCATTTGAACTTGATGTTCCCTCTGCCTGTGAAGTTCATCCCATCCCCACCCCCAGCCCTGTTTTACTTGTCTGTGTCTTTATTTAGCCATGAGGTGCCTCTACTATGTCTTCTCCTTGGTGAGGTCTACCCTTCTATTTGGACATCTGCTTGTTTACTTGTTAGTAGAGCATCTCACCATTTACACATGACTTTATGTGCCACTAGAATTTAAGGTCCTTTTCTCACCTCTGTATCCCACGTGCAGAACACACTGGCAAGCATAAAGTGGGTCTCAACAATTAAGTATTACTTAATGTACTCATTCATTTGAAAATCCTTATTAGCCTTTCAATTTTTTCCTTGTTTGTGATTTTGCCACACAACTCATAGATTAATGTGGAGTATACTAACATTTATAAAGCAAATGTATTTCACAGGGCCTAGTTTCCAAAGCCCTGTAGTTTCAGGTATAACCTAACTTTTTAAAATTACATATAGAAATGTTAAGTATGCAAAAAACAGGAAACTTTCCCCAGGCTTTTAAAGTCTCTGATGTAGATAAAGAATTGTAATACAGCAAAATTTCTGGCTCAAGGACAGATGCCTTTGGAGCAGGTTAACCTACTGATTGATATGTTAAGTTGCTTTATTTTTGTGTAAACATACTAAGGAAATTGCTGTAGGGAAAGAAAATGTTTGCTAAGAACAAGCTTCTGTTGGTGGATCGACTTAACCTTTTGCAAATTACATTATGGAATGCCACTTTGTTATTCCACTGATGTTACCAGCTTCTATTGTGAAACTACACTTAGCCATAACTCAACCTATGTTCCTTTTCTGTAACTTTCTGGCCTGGAGAATAAATACTAAGAAAGAACCCCAGTTTAGGGTTAATTTCCCAAAGGAGGAATGCCTCTCTCTTGAGAGTTCCAGGAAATTAACCCCTTTGAGGTGTCTCACTGCTCAGAAGAAATGGGCTTTGAGTAATCCTTTTTGCATGTCTGTCACCCCGTGTGAGGCGAAGCAACAGATTAAAAATCTGAACATTGTCTTATAGTTCATCCATGTTTGCCTCATTTGTTAAGCAAGAGAACCAAAAACCAGAGAGGTTTAGAGACTTGTCCTCCCTAGGCCCAAGTCTATAATTAGTATCAGATTAAAGCTCCACACCCACTGTCTCTTTGTCCTCTACTCATTCTTCTACCCAGAATATCATTCAAAATTATATAGTATGTATGTGACATCAATTATACTTGCTAAAGTCATATGGCAGTTGTCATGCAGTAAAGAAATGCTGGGTGTTCTTGCAGGGGAGGGGTGTTGTCAACAGTGTTTCTGCTTATGCTGCTGGGGCGGCTGCTTTACCTCCTCCCCAGCGCAGGCATCTTGCTAGGTCATTGCCAGTCCCAAGAGGCAGAATTGCAACTGGAGGATGCTTGACTACATTGGCCTTTTCTGTGGAATCAAAAGATTAAAATAAAATGCAATAATTGTTAACCCAGATAAAACAACAGTATAAAAGACAGCCTGATACTAAATAAAGGAATTCCACTAGGTGCTTATGAAAAACAAACAAAAAAGGAATTTAATAGATATATACAATTATGAATTACGATTAATTTGTATACATTTTTAGTGATTGATAAAACAGATGCTATTACTCACAAAACAATGGGGATTTTCAAAACTCATACATGAGGATAGGCTTTTAAATATCTTAGCTCAGCTAAAAATGTGGTGTGTTTTATTCATTTCCATTAAAATCCTCAGGGATGCAGGTATGCAGCACAGGAACACTGAGGCATGATTAGGGTAGAGGGTAGGTGCCATATAAAGTCCTTTGCAACATCAACCCTGGGTACATTTTACGCTAAGGAATTCTAAAAGTGAGTGAATTGCTAATAGTGTCCTTACATTGTTCCCACTCATGGAACTGCTTTGTGTCAGAGCAAACGGAACACGACGTTAACAGCTGGATTACTCCAAGATCAGCAGGTTTTCTGTGAGATTAATCTTCACATCACATAGTGCTTTGGGTTCAGAGTAGTAAAGATCTCTGCCACTGACTTCCCATATGCTTTTGTTTGAATCATCGTATGTCTTGAATGAATGTCACAAACATACATTATTTTTTTCTCCCTCTCAGCTCTTCATAGTCAGAGTGTATATGTGCGTAAAGATAAGGGGAATAGATAATTTAGTGATATGCCACAGCGAAATAGCCAAGATTTAGATTTTGGAGGCTAAACCAAGCCTAAAATTCCTACTATTTTCACTCTAAAAGCCTCCCAAGTCCTCAGACACTTTAAAACAAATTCATTAACTTTTGCAATTCTTGAATTCTAGTTTTCTTCTTAGAAAGTGCATAGAAATACTGTTTGCATCTTTTTTTGGAAGGCCAAAAATCAGAATATTCACATTTTCTTTTTATTAAATATTAGGTTTAAGGTTGTTAAATCTTACTAAAAGTGTTGTTAACAACATGTATTCATGTTTAACTTGAATATTTTTCAGTGAATGAAATGTTAGAGTATTCTCATTGGCATTGACTAAATAGATGTTGGTTTTAATTTATAGAGAGAGCAAAACTTCTTTTGAGTCAATTCTTTTTGTGAAAGGCCCATTCTTAACAAAGAATTGGTCAGTGCAGAAACTGAAGTGAGACCTAGAAAAGTAAATATTTCTTTTGGATTTATCTGCTCATTAAGGCCAATTCATGATCTATTCTTCTAAGAAGGAATCAGCTCTGACATCTGACTATGTCTGAAAACACACATAATTTTCTGAATTTATCAAGATTTTCTTGTGCTACATGCTTACCTTGTACCTTCAATTATGTACCTGATTTGTTTGCTGATAAACATCAAGCTTTTTAAATTTAACCAGAGAGGCAATAAGGAATTACGTTAAAGTATGGGTTCTAATCCCACTAGCTCTGTGAGTTCAGAGCTGTATGACTTTGTTCTAGTTATTTAGCTTCTTCAAGCCTTAGATTCCCTATCTCTAAAATAGGGTTATTAATTGTTTCTATGTCAGAGTTGTGAGTAATAAACAAGATGATTTGGGAATATCAGATAGTACACGATAAATTAAAAATTAGCCACAATGATGATGATGATTAATGACAATGATACGAATGTACACAGAGGGTAAGGTTTTGGGTATCCATGTTTAAATGAAGTAAGTACATGTATTTGGCACAGATTTCATCAGAAATGCTAACATCCCTTTGGCATCCTGACCAGGGCAAAAAAACAACTCTGTAGACATAGTAAATACTATGAGAAATGGGTTAGAAAGTAAAGATTCCTAAATACTTGTAAATTATGTCCACTAAAATTTTGTACTCTAGAAGAGTAAATTAAATCAATAAATAATGTGCAACCTGCCATATGTCCAATCATTTCCAAAGATAGTCATGCTAGCAATAAATAAAAAAAATAAAATTAAAGGGCCGGCCCGGTGGCGCACTGGATAGTGCGCCGCTTGGGAAGCGCGGCAGCGCTCCCGTCCGAGGGTTCGGATCCCACGTACAGACCGGCTCCCGCTCACTGGCTGAGCGAGGCGCGGGAGCAACGCCAAGGCTTGCGATCCCGTCGCCGGTCCCCGGTCCGGTACGGGGGCAACACTGAGGGTTGCGATCCGTTGCCGGACACGGAAAAAAGACAAAAAAAATAAAAAAATAAAAAAATAAAATTAAAGATAGATACATAGATAAAACAGAATTTAAGGCTACACTTTCACCCTAGTCACATTAAGTATTACCTATGCAATCCAAAATCCAGCCCACGGTTCCATCTCCACCACAAGCTAACACTCTGAAGTCAGGAACATCGCGGAAAAAGTTTAATCTGAAAAATAAGAATGTTATGGTGCATAATTGATATTCTAAAATTAAGAATTGTTCAGTTTTGTATTCTTAGAATTTTATTCAATGAAATACGTTTTTATTTTATGATATTTTACATATCAATTTAGACACATTTTGTAATTATATATTCCAGATTCCATAAATTTAAAAATATTTTGTAAATATATATTGTAGATTCTGTAACGAATATATTATGTTTTCTTTTATAAACTCTAAAATTTAAAAAAGCAAAGTTAATCAATTAAAGTAATTTTCATTAAGATATTCTTCCAGATGTGATCTGCAGTTCACACAATCCAGAATTACATATACTACATTGTTTTATTTAATACTTTTTATCAGTAAAAATTATTTTTTGAATAATTATATAAATGTGACTACTATGTCAGTAAATATAATGTATTTAACAGTTTTCTGCTTTCTCCATTACTGGGAGCAATTGATCAAGCTGCAACTGGGGTTCTAGCCAAGTGTTTCAGTATTTCCTTCTGATTTAGAATCTGCATATAGAAGCCAGGCTTCACCTTGTCTTTTGACCTGGTCTACAGAGATTTTCACCCAGGAACACTCAAGCCTAATTGCTCGGTCAGCTGTAATAAATACCTACTGCTTCTGCTGTTACTGAGTGCAGCGCACTTACTAATGCAACCTATTTTGGGAAAAGTCACAAAGGCAGATATTGCAGCCAGTTATACAGTCATACATGCGTTATTTTATTGCAATGAAAGATTTTTTGAAACAAGACAGAAACTCTGGAGTGTGCTATTTCTCTCCCTTGTCCCAGAGATAACTGCTGGTAATAATATAATATGCAACCATCTAATTTTTTTGTATATATGTATGTACATATATAAATCTTCATTAAACATATTTTTTAACATGAATGGAAATGTGTTGTACATACTGTTTATTTACTCATCTTTTATTTTTACTTAAAAATATGTCTAAGAGATCTTCCTGAATCAGCACATAATATATGCATGTTATATGTAATATAACATGATTTTTAAGTGTTGCCTCATGATTTACAAGTAAATGTACTATGAAATTAAATAAATTATTCCTTTCCATGTACTTTTAAACTATTTCTAGTGTTTCATTATTACAAAATAATGGTACTGTAGGTAACATTATCTGCAGTACATTTGTGTGAACACGTGCAGGTATTTCTGCAGGTTACTCTAGAGGAAAATGTTCTATTACATCCCACCCCTCTGAATGGCTCCCACTGTAAAATATGTAAGTGTTCATTTTCTTGCAACCCAAAAATACTACATATGAACAACTTTATTATATGCCTTCAAAAATGAGTGAAAAACAGCATCTTGCTATTTTTTGTGAAATTGCACTTTCCTGTTTACTAGTGGGTTAAGCATATTTCTGTAGGTTTTCTGGAGATGTGTAACCTCTTCTGTGACTATAATCTTCAAAGCTTTGCCTCTCTTTTCTACTGAGTTTCTTTTAACATTATTTTATAAACTCTTTACATAATACAAGTGCTCTGCATTTAAATTTGCATCATTCGAAACATTTTTGGTCAAGTAGTACAAACAGCGCATAAATATATTAGAACATGTATAAAATTTAACTAAACCCCACCATTTGATAATAATAGCCATGAATATTTAGAACATAAAACTCTCATGCATTTCCTTGCATATTATATTTACGCTTTGTTAGACATATTGCAAATATTTTCTTCCAGTCTACTACCAACTGGTTTGCTTATATTATGTGTGAAATAATAATAAGCTATGTACCGAATGCCCACTCCAGGAGTTAGAACATTTCCAACAACTTACATATACATACCTCTGTACTCTTTCCCTCTAGCTCTGCTCTTCCTCATTCACAAAGGTGAACACTATTCTGAATGTTGTTATCATGTGTATGCCATAATCAACATATTGCTTTCTGCTTTATCCACTTAGTATTGCTACCAAGATTCATTCATGTTGTAGCTGAATTCCCTTTCATGTGTAGCTGAAGTTCTTTTTATTTCTACTGCTGTGTTAAATACCACTTATGTGAATATGCCTCTTTAGATCCATGTCAATGGATATTTGGACTGGTTACTTTTATGTTCTTATAAAAAATGCATTCTTGTACATACTTCCTAGTGCTTATGAACAGTGGCTACTTTCAGAGTAACTAATACTAATATACAACTTTACAAGATAATGCCAATTTGTTTCCCAAAGAAATTGTAACAAAGTACAATGAGTGTACTTCCTCCCCTCCAACCTCTCTACCACTTGTGATAACCCACATCTTAATTTCATGTATTTCTTCTTTTTGTGAAATGCCTATTCATGTTTTTTGTCTCTATTTTCTGCTCTTTTTTTTTCTTGTTTATTTGTAAAAATTCTTTGCTTGTCCTTGATTTAATCCTTTTTGATTTGTATTTTTTTCAAATATCTTTTACAAGTTGTAAGTTTTACTTTCATAAATGTGAATTTTAATAAGTAAGATTTTAGTTTGAATGTATTCAAATTTATGATAAGTGGCTATTACCTTTACCAGTCTTACATAAGAAAAGCTTCCCTACCCAAGGTCAGAAAAAAATTCACATATACTCTCTTTTAAAATTTCTGTTCTACTTTTGTCACAGAAATTCTTAATTTGTCATGGTGTGAAAAAGGCATCCTTTTTCTCCCTTCCTTCCTCTCTTCCTTTTGGCTATAGTGCACCAATTTTTTCTAGTTATTTTTATGCATCTTTTCATTTATTGAATAATTCAATTTTCTACTATGCAAACTCTATCATAAATCTAGTTTTCTTATATAAGTACCTTTCTTTTTGTATTTTTTGTTATGTTTTATTCATGAATTTCTCCATCTCTGCACCAGTACCACGCTCTTACAATTACTATAGCTTTCTAGTAAGTCTATATCTCATATGTCATTAAGAATCTTAGCTATTATTTCCTCTTTGTTTTTCTGTACTCATTTTAAAGTTAACTTGTCATATTTCACACTCAAAAAATAAATAAGGTCAAAGAAAAACCAGTTATGATTTTGATTGGAGTTGCATTAAACCCACAGATCAATTTTGGGAGAAACAACATCTGTGTAATTTAATTCAGCTTATCCATGAAGAGGATAGTTCAATTTACTTATGTATACCTTAATGTCCTTTAATAAAGTTTTTAATTTTATACTTATAGGTCTTGCATACATTTTGTTAGATTTATTCTTGGTTGTTATATAGTTTTTGTTGGCATTTTAAATATTTTCAAAATCATGTTTACAGATATCAATATTAATGCTTTGTTGCTAGTGTATATAAATATATTTGACTTTTATATACTGGTATTATAGCAGTCATATTGCTCCTGTTTTTCTGTTGCCTAAATTTTGTTTGTAGATTCATTTGGATTTGTATGCATGCAATTGTATCATATGCTAATAACTGGTATTATTAATGAGCTCTAATCCTTATAATTATTATTTCTTTTCCTGTTTCGTTGTCCTGAATTCCAGTATGTGGTTGGCCAGAATTCTAATACATGGTTGAATAGGAGTATTCATAAAGAACATCCATATCTTATTCCTAAAATTTAAATGGAATACTTCCAGAATTTGCCCATTTAGGATGGAATTTTTTGTAGGGATTTTTTTTCTTTCTTTCTTCTTCTTCATTGACACCCACCTTCTATGTGGTTAATAAAATTTCTTTCTACTTCTATTATAGCAAAAATTTTTATTATGAATAAATGGTAAATTTTTTTCTGCATCTTTTGAGATGTTGATATGGTTGCTCTCATTTAATTGTTTACTGTAGGAACATAAATTTATATATTTCTGTATTATTAAATGATTCTTGCAATTCTTTCATGCACCCAAATAGGTCATTGTATATTACAGAGAACTATATTTGGTTTGCTAACATTTTGTTTAGAAGTTTTGCATCTATATTCAAAAACACAATAGACCTACTATTTTTCTTCCTCATACCACCTCTAATTTTTTATCAAAATTATAATTTTCTCAAAATTATTTTATCAAAAAGGAATTATAAAATTATTTAACTCATAAATGAGTTGCAGAGCATGCAGTCATTTTCTATATTTATGGAAGAATTTGAATAATTTTGGAAATTCCTTAAAGACTGGTAACACTTATAAATCTATTCAGTTAGTTCCTGGTGAGTGAGTGGGTTTTTTTTTTTTTTTTTTTTTAATGGAATGGTTTTAAATAATTATTTAAATTTCTTTAATACTTATTGAAAAAAATCCAAGTTTTCTAATTATTCCTAAGTTAGATTTTGCCCGTTATGTTTCTGTAGCAATTCATCTATCTTTCCTAGGTTTTCTAACATTTTGGCACTGAAGCCTAAAAAAGTTTTTCAAAACATGCTAGTAAGCTGAAATGTTTACCATAGAGCTAACTGTTTCTGGTGAAAGCCTAGCCATCCATTCGACTCACCATTCTTCTTCTATTCCATGAAGATGTTTCATCGGTTATTCATTCTTGTTTTCTTTTAAAATTGTCATCATTGGTTCTTCAGCAGCATCCTACCCCCAAACATAAACCCCATGTGACTGTCAGACCAGCTTACTCTGTAAATTGATTGCTAAATGGGTTGAAAATTGACCTCTCTTTATCTCAACCTCTTAATCCATTCAGTCCATGCAGTTTTCCTTGGAGATTCATTCATTCCTTATTTCATTCATTCATTGGAATGTAGCCTTGGAAAATGACTTAATCATTCTGAGCCTCAGTTTCCTTATCTTTACAATGGAATTAACACCACCTGATTTATTGGACTGTTTACATACACATAAACACAATGTATATGTGAATACATTATATTATCAATAGATTATTACTAATTTAATTATATTTTTCCTGCATTAAAAGTAGTATATATGTGTTGTAGGCAAGAGTGCCATTCTTTTATCTTCCCACCTTTCCCACCCCCAGTGTTCTGGCAGAATAGTCACAGAGAATTTTCTAACAAGCAAAACTGAATTGGACA